CAGGCTACTCTAAGCAGTATCTTTCAACTTTTTATTTCTCCAAGGAAATTCATCAAATATACTCATGCACAAGGATAGGAACCAGCCTACTGCTCAGAGAAGGACATCTCAGAGGCCACTTTTGATGTCTCTTCACCATCCTTTGCTGAGAAATCACTGTTATTTGAAGCAGTACTTGGGCTGTTCTGTGGGTGTCAGCTTAGGTGTAGATGCAGCATGAGAGAAAGGGCCATAAGCAGGACAAGTCTCTTATAAAAAGTTGTTCACCATAAAAGATGTTCACCATAAGCCTCTGCCTCTCTGCACTTGCTTGGAAGAATGTAGCATAGTTTGAACTCTTGGTTTGAGACTGGAGCATCTCTTTGTCAAGTCAGAGGTTAATGCAAGGAGCTTCTGTTCATCCTTTCTGCATTTCACATTAGGCGCAGGGAGAAAACATGAAATTTGTGTTTGGCATTTGCAAGCTAATGCTTGTGCAGAAGAATGAGGGAGGTTGGAAGTTCTCTGCTACCTGTGGCTCCCATTCCTATTGCATTGCTTCAAGAGGTGCAGAAACTGCTAATCAATGAAGTGAACTGAGAAAAAATAAGCGATGTTATATATTAGTTATGCTTAACAAAATGAAAGGCATCTTCAAATCAAGTTCTGCATTTCCCAAGAAGTTGAGAAATAACTAATACGAAACTGCAGCAGAGGCAGTACAGAAGTCCTCTTTTTGTCAACAAAGATGTCTGTATTAAAAGCATTTTTTTCTGAGCTGACATTAGGCTAATTCCCTCCTGTCTATTCCTAATAGACTGAATGCTAGGAGTCAAAGCCACTTGACCTTGTAAAAATTGGATCACCCATTTAAAGTAAACAAAATCTAACAACGCAGAGTCTTTCTGATATAAGTAAATAAGGTTCTCATATAAGTAAATAAGTAGACTACCTGTTCCTACTACCTGTTCCATGGTGCTGCTTTACAGAAATACTGAGGCAGCCTTTTCTGTAACAATCATTTAACCTAAAAGAGTGCAAGATAGTTGGAGCACTCAATAGCAGCCTCTGCTTCTGCCTGTTCTCAGGGGTTTGAACAGAAGCAATTTGTTTTATGGGACATGGCATCTCTCTTGCCCTGCTCATGCAAAGAATTGGCCTTTTGTACAGCCCCTCTGTGCGTGCTCAGCGCCAGCAGATTGCCTTTCTTGGCACAGACGGGTGTTTCAGAGGGAATGTACACGTCTCTGTTTCGCCTGACAGATATTTTATTCATGTAGGGCTGATTTGCCTCATTAGCCACCAGTCCAAGAAAGTGTGATACATCAGAGTCCTGGCTCCAAGTTAACCTAGGGACACTGTTATCCAGAGACAGCTTCTTGGGAAATATCCTCTCTGCCCCTTTTCCTTGAGAACAAGGGGGGGATGCATGTTGTACTTCTCCCTGCTGAGGGAAGGCCTTACTCCACTCCTTGTGTGCAGTAGCTCATTTGGCTGATGCACAGGAGCTAAGGTGCACAGGCTGCTCCTTCCACAGCCTTGCTCTGTGAGGCAGGGTTATAAAGGGATGGAAAACAGTAGTGTTGAGAATTGAAACAAAGTGTTTATGGGACATGACCAACATGAGATGACCCCATGGCTCTGATATAGGCCAATAAGGCATGCTAAGGCTTCAAAGAAGAGTAATTACAATCAATTACTTTATCTAAGGTCACAAGAGACTGTAATTAGCTCACTGATCTCCTGTATTATACAGCACACAGGCCATCTATTATGATTATAATAATTATTATAGTTGTTAATGCTATTATTTCAGAAAAAGCATCCATCTTCATTTCAAAACTTCCAGGGCTGCAAAAGCCTTGGTATTCACTTGGTACTTACTCCAGCTTGCTTAATTACCAGTGCCAGTCAGGATGTAAATTTATCTGCTAAATGTGGTAACCCTCTACTATCAATTTCTGGTCTGCAGTAAGTATTGATAGACCTGGGCAAGAACATCTTGTATGTTTGTGTATGTCTACCTGTGGTTAAACAATGCAGAGGAAAGGTCTTCACTCTGTCATGACAAAGGGCTTGAATTGATAGAGCTCTGCTGATAAGGTTCTGCTCTACTGGTGCTGCTTGAAAATGCCAGGTCACGACCCTCCTTTTGTCCTTTGCTTGGTAAAGGCCAGTGTATCATTTTCTGTTGAATTGCAGTTAACAGTATACCCTGCTTTCCTAGTTCTGTACAGGATAACACAGAGATCCTCTCTGCATCTTTGTCCATGGGGGTATACAGTTACACTGGAAAAGAACTTAGAGGCAAAAGGCATTAATTAACGTACCTATAAATTTCCCAGGAGGGACTACCATAAGAAACCTGGTCTTCTAAGTGCCTTTGTTTCAGATTTTGTTTTAATATCTACTTTCTTCCTGGCTGCACTGATATAATTTTCACGGGTAATTACTATAGGAAAATAGACTTTCTCTCTGTACAAGTTTTATTAACAAATCAAATATTCCATCAGAATGGGAAATGCACATAAAAAAAATAAGTTCTTTATATTACAATTACATTCACAACCAAGAATTGTTACTAAAATAATTTGGAAGCCCAGAATTGTTAGAACAGTGAATATGATCAAAGCACAGAATCTTTAAAAAAAAAAATAAAATTTTAAAAATGCTTGTTCTAGTGATACACAGAGACTTTGCAGAAGGCCCCTTCCACACAGGGAAATGAGGCTCCTTCACTTACTCTATATGTATATGTTCAAATGTACATTTCTGTTAGCATCTTTCCTTCCATACACTTTGATCCTATTAACCAATCTACCCAATCTAATTTTTCTGGGCTGGAGGGCGGGGGACAGATAAATGCTACATCCAGTGAATATTAGCAATTGAATGGGAGGCAGACACCTCTAAGTTCTCCAGCTGAGAGAACAGCACAGTGACAGCTCACACCTTATTAGACACCAGACAATACAAAGAAGCAGAATCAGCAACCACATCTTTGGGAAAGCTTCAATTAACAATGGGACATAAATCTGCTGGAAGCAGCACTTGCTCCATCCTGGTGCTCAGGGGGTTGCTTAGCACAGCTCATCTCTCGGGGCTTTGCTGGAGGGGCAGGAAACACAGAGTGTTCCCACTGCAGTGGAGATGTCTCCTACAAGTTTGGTCTCTATATCAGTAAGATCAATTGCACTTGTAACTTCAAATTTCATTAGTGCTGTATCTGTTTTTACAGCTATGAAAAAAATACTTTTTCCTTTTGGTGAATTTTGCAGACTGTGGGCCACAGCTGTTGGCAAAGCTCTCATTGATTCACGGCCAGACAAGAAACCTCATCACATGTTGTAGTTATTACAAGCTGTTTGCATTTTTAACTCATGGGAACAATTCAGTTGAAGGATATTTTTTATTATTATTTACAGATTTTTTAAAAATTGTAAGTCAAGAAAACACATATTAATATGGAAGTGTCTGAACATCTCCTCTGGCAAAGAGGAAGAAAAAAAAAATTGCAGAGGAGAGGGAGATTTTAACATGTAGTCACCTCCTGCACTGTAAAAAGTAAATAACAAAGTGGATGACATCATTTATGACCTAAACAAGTGGCAAAATAATGAAATGCCTTTGCTGATAGGAAGAACTGAGACCTCAGATATCTGACTCTGTTAATTTAAAAGTTGCTATCTTCAGCTGAAAAAAATGTTAAAATGCCCAGCGTCCACGTTTTATTTCTGGTGCTCATGAATCAAACCCACACAAAAATGAGGCGATCAGAATGCACCAGATAGATGGAGAACTGAGATGGGGATGCTTAAGTGTCGTGATGAGAAGTAAAATTGTCAAAGATTGCAGTTCAGTAGTTTTATAAGAACTACAGACAGGGAGAAATCCTCAAAATAGTAAGATTTAATTTTCACACAAAAGGCTCCAGCTTCTCATTTAATATGTTTTAATTTCAAACTGACATAAGCTAGGATAAATATTCTGGTTTTTTTGGGGGGAGGTAAAAACCTGAAACTCCTACTAAAATAAAGCATCTTGTAGTGTGGATTGGGTCAAGGACAAATACCTTTCTTCTTCAGGAGACATCTGTCTTGAAACAGTGTTTTCCTTTTCATCAGTCTAGAGGCAGAGATCTCTGACCCAGCCAGAAAGTGCTACAAGTTGTAATTGCAGAAGGTCTGAGCTCCGCCATATGTGGTGGCTCTAATGTTCGGTGCTCTGGTTTTATTGCAGCCAACTGCTCAGCCTGGAGAACAGAAGGCTCAGGGAGATCTTACCAAAGTGTATAAAAACCTGAGCTGGGGCTGGGGGAAAAAAGACAAAGCCAGAGACTTCTTGGTGTTGTGCACTGACAGGGCAAGAGGCAATAAATTCTGGACTACAGAAAATTCTGATAATTATCATAAAGTCTTTTTTTTTTATTGTGCAGGTGGTCAAACACTGCAAAATGCTTCCCAGAGAGGCTGTGGAGTCTCCTTCAATGAAGATATTCAAAAGTCAACTGGATGAGCTATGGGCAATCTTGTCTCCCTGACTTCGCTTGAGCAGGGGCTGGATCAGATGAGCTCAGTGATGTCCACCAGCCTCCACCACAATTCTGTGATGGCTTCTTCTCTACCAGCACTTTTTATGAAATTCTGAAAACAGCCTAACACACTGAGTGCCATCTAGTGATCAGCTGAAAGGGAACAAATAGTCTTTGAGACATGTTTCTGAACAAAAAAAATAAATTTTTAACTTCTAGGCAATGTCTGTTTTGTCAAATAATTTATCTGCCAGCTTGAGAAATAAGATCAGACTATGCCTACACTTCCCATATGTTTCTTTTGCTGCAGATCATTTGGCACCAAAGTTTTCTGAATATCCAAATCTGACTTTTAGATTATTAATTTGAAACACTTGGGTTAAAAACATATGAATCCCAAACTTTTCTGCAGGGCATATAGACAATTTTCCTACTGCCAGGACTATAAAGATAAATTAGCTTCATTGCAGAAGAACAGAAGACATTCTGACCGTTTTCTAGAGGTTAGTTTAATTAGCTAATAAACAAATGGAATACACTTATTTCATTGCGATAGCAGAAATGCATTATCTCAAACAATAAGCCAGGCATTTGCATGCAGCTCATGACAGCAAAGAGACAGTGAGTAATACAAGAGAGATAAATTTAACAGGAGAGGAGATGCTCAGCAAGGAGAGGAGTGAGGATACAAGCAGAGCTGGCGGAGCAGTGAGGACAACTGCCGTGATGATTAAGGACATGAGGACACAGAGGCAATTGCACTCCACTCAAGCTACCTTTGTCCAGACCTGGATGAAGCACACAGGAGACACTTCCACTCCACGAACCACAGAGCTGTGTAATATGCTGAGAGGCACAGCACAGTGTTCAGGCACTGTGCCCTCCTACAGCAGCTCTGTGCTGCCTGGGAGCAGAGCTGGCTGCGTCCAGTCACCTCAAAAGCCTGCACAGCTCAAGCCAGGGTCTGTCTGTCCCCAGGAACACAGGTGTGCCCCAAGAGGCAAGCTCCCAGGAGCATCTGTTTCTCCCCAAGATGCTCATGAGTCTCTAACTAGTTCTGAAACTAGTTCTGAAACAAGATGAGAAAAGGAAATACATTGTAAAGTAAATGGGTCATATAAAATGGAAATAAGTGATAAAAATTATGCTAACAATCATCAAATAGTCTTCTGCTGGACCTGCCATTGGTTTATAAGGGGGCTGGAGCACAAGGCAGTGAGGGACTGCAAGGCTGGGAGAGGTGGGGAGTAGTGAAAGTATAAAAATGTAGAAAAACAAAATCCCTGTTTTGTACATCACAAGATGGCTGGATTTGTTTAGTGGTTCATGAAGACATAACCTAAGGTTTTCAGGTGATTTGTGCCCTTAGGGAAACCTGAAGAATATAGAGTGTTCCCAAATTAAATGCAAAATCAGCTTTTATTCTGAAAAACAACAGAATGATGTGAGAGAGAATTTAAGGTCTGTCCAAAGCAACTAAATTTTAAAAAGGCACTAAACCTAATTGATCTTATACAGGGTAATGTAAAAAACTCCTGGCATCTGACTACCCCTCCCATTAAAATAGACGAGAGATAGGCACTGTCAAAAACACTGGATGTAACTAGAGGACATATTTTATGAAAATGAGTCATTGCTTTCAAAATCAGGACCTTTTATTACTGCTGATAAATTGGCTTACTGGTATAAAGAATGACTAATCTGAAAGGGCTTGCCTTTGAATTTTGGTTCTTTTTTTTTATTCCCAGTCTTGATTAGCCTCCTGTATTACAACAGCATCAATCAAGCTGGCTACAATCAATTCAATATGAATTGTGAAATCTATTTCCACAATAATTATTGACTGTAGCTATTAACATTATGAAATCCATATTCCTACCTGCTTGCTGACAAGACCTTCACCTCCCTTCCATTTTCTTCTTTTTAGTTCCACATACTTTCCCTGACAAAAGAAAATAAAAATTAAAACCACTTTTCTTATTTTTCCCCCTTCTGTTTGCTGAGGCAAAATAGTAAGATGCATGGGTAACTGTAAGGTAAAATACCTTATTTCAAAGAGGAACTAAACCAAATATTGTCCTATATAAATGACGGTAAACACCAAGTGATCCTGTGTGAACAGAAATTAACTTAGGGTTCCCACAAGAGCTCAAGGTAAAGAAAGATGGTATTTATGTGACAAATCCACCTCCCGTGGTGTTTGGATACAGACCTCCTTACTTGCAATGCATTGGTTCATCCTGTAGTGACTGTAGTTATGTATGTAAGCTTATTGTTACAGGTCCTGGAACTTCTAATAGGATGTGGGATAAGTTCAGTGAGGGATTCTTAAATAGTGTACAAATTTTCCATGTCTGTCTTCCATGGCCTGCATTCTAGCCTTCACCTTGAAAAAAAAAGCCACTATAACTGGCTCTGTTTACTGTAGTTAAGACCGTGATTTTAAACCACAGACTTGAGCTATTACTGCTGTGTAGTGGAGCTTCCCCAGGAGCTGTTTATCTCTCCAATTCACAACTACTTTCCTTTCATCTTTCTCTGTGCAGGAGTAGTAACTTTTTACTGGCCTGAAATTTTATCTCAGGCTACCTCAGCCATCCAGCTGAAAGGCAGGCTTAATCCCATCTGAATTGAAGGGGAGGTATAAAAGAATTGCCTTTTTATTCCTATGCACTGGACACAGAACCAGATAGTAGGTACGACAGTCAGAGAGGAGGAATTAGTTCTTTGTTGGGCCACAGAGTCCACACACAGCATGACCATAGACAGATAAGATTTGGGCTCTCAGATGACAATGCGTAAATGAGATCTCCATGTATATTTAAATGATTGTTTAAGGCTCTCTGTGAGAACAAGTATTGCATTTCCAAGGTTTGCACGTGCACTCTTGGAGCTGCAGCAGTGCCACGTGTCACCTGGACACTGCCCACTGCCACCAAGCAGTGGGGCTGGAGTGGTTCTGTTTGCACACGTGGCTGTGTGAGGCTGATGAAGAACTGCAGAGCTGGCAGCAAAGTGAAAAGCAGGAACAGCACAAGCAGAAATAATGTATGACCCTAAAACACCCCAGACCTGAACACAAATGGGAGTTATCTGGATAGAGGAAGATTGACAGCTCTTTGAATCCAAGCACTAAATAAAGATAAGCATTTGTGGTGCTCCTAGAAAGACTCTGTTTCCAGAAATCAATGCAAAGATTTGTTCAGCACAGTGTGCAGCGTTTTTCTCCTCTTCTCAGACAGATTAATTTTACCTAGAAACTTGCTGTCTGCATTGTATCTCCTCTCCATTTTTTCTGCAGATGATAAGGCATTGTCCTTATCATTGTCCTATCAAAACTGACTTAATAACAGCAATGAGAGAGATGGATTGTCACTTTAGGTTACTCAGGCAGTGGTTAAAGTTAATAAAGGTTCAGACTGCTTCTTTGTGCTATAAATGCTGTGCAACAGATTAGCCTGCTGGGGAGCACAATTGGAGGTGCTGGTTCCCCAGTCACTCCTCAGACACCAGGGTAGTGGCTAGAGCATTCATTTTCTTATGAAGCCATCTGACATTTGCTTCTTTTCATACTTCTCTATCCCTGCTGGAAAGCTGCAAGCGTAACCTCAGCACAGTTAATTTTCTTCTCTCACACATTAGGACAAGAAATATCATTAGCATGTGAATGATATATGAGGTGTAGGGTTCCTGAACCCCTCCCTTTTTGTTCAGGGGTTGAACATGAGCTGTTCCCGCTCTCCTTCCCTCCCACAGTCCATCATGGATCTAAAGCTTTGACCCTCACTCTCTGAATGCACTTCTCCTATGCGCAACTGCTTCCTAACAGGGCTTGCAGAATTAGACATAAGGCAGCAGCATATGAAAAATGATGCTTTTTTTGTAGACTGTGCAGAGCTGGAGGTCAAGCACACTATTAATAATTCTCTGACTTTTTAAAAGCTGTATTTCCTCCATTTGTTGGCAACATGATTTGAAAGGTCTGTACAAGCCACTTAAAACAGCAGCTGAACAGAGGCATTTCAGCATTGTCCAATATTGATTTTTGCTTCTAACTCGTCTCTTTGCTAAGACTGGTTTCAATATCCTGTGAAGTTTAAGTGAAGACATTTCCCATCTCAATAGCCATGCATTGTAATTTGATCCCATAGACAAGCCCACAGCATTTTCCTTAGCAACATGGATTGGCTCAAAGAGCAAGGCCAACACAAAATCTCCAACTTGGACCAGTGCTGCCCACACAGAAGAAAGTCTGAGTGGAGAATGAATGGAGGTGGGCAGGAGTAGGGATCACAATTGCCAGCTCAGCTCAATAAAAAAAACAAACCACAATATAGGGCTACTGCAACAGAGTATTTCTGCCTCCAGGGAAGTCGTCCCAAGGAACAAAAAACTTAAGCAAATTCAAAGCACTAATTAATATGCTCCCACATAGCAGAAATTTAAAGGAAAAAGGAATTCAGGAAAATTTAGCAAATTCTTCACCAAAATCAAGAAAACAAAATACCGTATGTGAAATGTGAAAATGTGAAAGAAAAATAACAATTGTAAACATGTATTTGGCTAACCATAACAGTAGTCTAAAATTTTAGAAATTTCCCCACTGGGGAAATTAGAACATATAAATAATAATTTTCATTTCTTTTGTGAGGGTTAGCAAGTGAGATCCTCATAGAAGAGAAAGAAAGGTCATGAGGAAGTGCTCTATATTTATACTAGAAAGAAGAAAAAAAACAAAGAAAGAACAGGTTTTCTGCTTGGTGGGGAGTGAGACAGGACACAATTGAAAATGACATTGAGAAGGCTGAAGTGCTTCAACCTTTCTTTACCTCAATAAAAAAATCCAAAAGTATTCAGACTATCCATAGACTTCAGAACTTAAGAACTTCGGCTGGTAGAGAGCAGAAGAGGCTGCATAGATACATAATGTATCTGCAAATCATGTGAGCCTTATGAAATTCACCCCAGAGGGCTCAGAGAATTGAGCAGCAATTTCATGGCCGTGAGTAATCATCTTTGAGGACTGATGGAGGGTGAAAGTTCCAGAAGACTGGAAAAATGACCTCTCAAGAGCTCTTCCAGCCATGATTACCATTCCTGAAAGGAGGTAAAAACAAAGGTAAGGCTGTGATCTATTGATTCCTTCTTTATGAAGACACAGCGGCAAACAGTGACTTAGTATTGCCCCTATAGGCAGAGCACAAAGTTTTGAGAACACAGGGTCAGTCTGGATCAAATCAAAGGTCCATCTGTCACAAAATAGGCTCAGATAGTAGCCTGCAGCAGTTACAGCTTTATCTAAAACCAAGGGAAGGGCAAGCATACACCAGCACATTCTCTCAGCTCTTAGCAATCAGAAGCTTAGGGACTTACAGAGCTAGACTTGGCATCCTTCTGTTAATAGCCCTCCGTGACCTTTAATAGCCCTCAACAATTACTAATGAAGAGATCTTTAAAGTGCTGTCCTTATTGCATGAAATCAGAATACACAGAAACTGAAACAGTCACACACTTTCTACTGCTCTGCCTTTCAGTGACTATATTTTTGTTCCCAGCCTGGATATACTGTTATCACATATACATTCATCTCATGAACAGCTAATCCTTGAGAAAAGCAATACCAAAATGTCAGGATAGCTACTTGATATTATTTACATTCAAGCACAGTTACTCTGGCTAGTTTGTCAGAAGCTGCTTCATGTTAAGAGTTCAACCAAATTTATTTTAAGCTATAAAGAGACGAGACAATCCCATGTAGATGGATACACTGCAGTTAGAGAATAGTGATTAAAGAACTTTATTTACATTTCTAGCTGATCAACATCTTTTAGATCCTTCTAATGGAAAGAATTGATTTTTTTCCTCTGCAAAAGGGACTTAATCAATTTTGCTTCTGGAAATGTTTTATTCAACAATAGCTAAATTTCCCTGCATACACAGCTGTCAAAACAGAAACAATTATTGGAAAAGAAAAGCTTTTTTTGCTGATATAAATATATGTTTTATTCTTTCAACAGAAGCCTATTGATTTTTTTATGCCTTAAAAAAAACCAAATGTGCAAAAGCGTATGCAAATACCTCCAAATATTAGCAAATTTAGTTTGGGTTGACTTTTCAAGATTTTAAAAAAGATTATTTTGTACTTTAAATTAAATGTAAATGTCATCCGTCAGAAAAAAAAATGCAGTCCTTTTCAGATTAATTTATTCTAGTGGTTCTGTACTAATTTAGCTTTTTCTGCAGTGCTGGACCGAGACTTAAGTCTTGGTTCTCCAGCTCTCCAGGAGGTATCTGTGCACAGAAGACTTTTTGAGAACATTATGCTTTGTGCTACTCAGCATCTCATTTCTCGACGCAGATGGAAGAACTTTCAGTGATCTCTGGGTTACACACTGGGTGCAGGGGAACAAAAACCACACTTGTTAGGTTGTAATACCCTCGTTCAAAACAATGGCCAAATGCCCATGAGGTGCAGCTCAGTTAATGGCAATTAACTTTCAGTAATTAAATTTCAGTATCTTTTACCATATGTAACAGTGGGCCAATCTATACATAAAAAAGCATAGAACTCTTTACAAGTTTTTAATACAGCAAGTCTGAAGAAATATTTTAACAATGAATTTTTATTGAAAATCTAATTAAAATATGCATTATTCATCTCAGTTTCTACCATGGGGACTGCATTTACATTTACACAAACAAATATTAAGTTGGTTCATTTCAAATAAGAGGTTCTTGTCTTGTTTGGTTTCATGCAGATTTATAATATCCAGGATTTAATTTAAACTGAAAAGAAAGTCAGAGAAATCTCACCTTCTTGCAGTCTATAGGACTCTTGACCTTGCCAGGACTCATAAACACAGGGAAACAAAGCCCCTGTGAACACAGTACGTGACATTGAATCCTTCAAAATTTAAAATGGTAAGATTAAGAAGAAATCTGTAAATTGAGTAAAAATGAATTTGTGTTTGTTTGCTTTCAGTTAGAAAGACTCCCAGTTCTTTAAGCTGATGGATGTCATATCTATAAATACATCTACTCTCTTAACCTCTTCCTAACCATGAGTTGCACACCACAGTCTGCATGTGACATCAGTGCAGTCACTGCAGCCAATTCGTCCACTTGTGGGACACCTTTATTACTCCTGTAGCAGTAACAGCCTGAATTGTGAATTGGGCCCCTGTTGTACTCTGTTCTCTGGTAATAGGTAATATGAGTAGACAGTCCCTGCTCCAGCCTGGATCCACACCCACCACAGCGCTCCCACCCACACGGTGATTCACACAAAAGTGGCAGGGAAAGGTCTGATTCTGTCATACTGGAATGAAAAGTGACCTTACAGGGAATAACCTGTGTGGCATACCTTCAAATTGTGTTTGGGAGGGAGTACAGGTTGTCAAAAGTGTTTACAGTGCTTAACTGACACACACCGGAGATCTGAGAGAAACAAAACCAAACCAAACCAAAACAAGCCAGTTGAGAACTGTGTTTCCCTGGAGGTTCTGCTTAGCTGCTGGTGCCAGTCACTGCTGGCACTGCACCAGCACCCTGCCATTGCTGCCCACTCTGACACAGCTCTTCAGGGGGGAGAGGTGAAGCTGACACTGCAGTGGCCATGCCTAGCCCATAGACCTCCAGGAACATAGCTCCTGCATCTCCCTGCATCGCCCATCACCTCCCGTGATTTCTGGGAGCCGCGTGCCCACCCACCATGGCCATGGCTGCTGCTGGGCCCAGCGCTCCTGCCCTGGCCACGGCCAAGCCGGGCTGAGGGGAGGATGTGATACTGAAGTGGTCATGCATGAGGTGATGGTGAGCAGGGGCTCAACACCCACCATCTGACGCAGCACCTCCTCAGCTGCCTGCTCACACAGCCATGGCTGCTCCCACACACTTTTTCTCTTTTTTGCTCTGGTTGCATGGAGTTGAAACTGTATTGCTTGACACTTCTGTCTGGGAAGGGCCAGCAGCAGGGACACGATGGAGAGGGGAGCTGGGGGTGAGCTTGGTGTGCCGGCACAGCTCAATCCAGCACCGCCTCTGCCAGGTGGCCCTGCTGCCTACATGGGCTCCCTGCAGCTGAACACTGCGGACTGCACCCATGGCACGGAGAGAAGAGCCAGCCACTGGAATCAGCAAAGAGCAAAGAGGACAATGGCAGTGCTCAGCTTCATAGACTTTTATTTTCGACTCCGTACAGAACGCGGCTGCGATTGTAATAAGGCATCAAACGCACTATTGAACAGCTCATGATGTACTGTGATGTTTCACCCCGTTGTGGGTCAGAGTTTTACAAGATTAAACCAGTTGCTTTCTTAGTCAGTAAACTCTAGAGTCACTGCAGACAGATTTTTAAAAGAATTACAAAGATTAAAAAATTGTAAACACGTAAAAACCCAGCACCAACCCAGCGTAGCTCCCTAGGAGAGTCTTGGGCATTTGTGCCACGGGGCTGGCTTCAGGCTGGCAGGAGCAGGCGAGGCTGGAGGGACACGCTGGGCACCCGCAGCGTGGGGGCTGGGACCGTGCAGTGACAGCCTCCGCTCTGATGAGATCCCCAGCAGGTGCCATGCAGCTCCCAGTGTCCAGCCTCAGCCACAGCGTCTGACTGAGAAAAAGGAACTGAGAACATGGGTCAGCAGGGAGCTGTTGGAGCAGCAGGGAGCTGGACACTGGCAGCTGTCGCCTCGCTGCAGGGAAGCCTCCCTTCCCACAGTTCAGGGAAGCATGGACACCTGCAGTGGGAAGGGAGAGACCAGGGCTGGGCCCAGCTGGCTGACGTGTCATGAGGTAGAAACTGGGGAAGTGTCATATTTGGCAACTGGGACTGGTCAGAAATAGACTGACTAAGGGCAAAAATCCTGTTCTGTTTCCAGGGTTCTCAGAAATCCACACTCAGAATTGAGATATGTTTAGAGGGCACCTAAATCCCACTCGGTATATGCCAAAATTTAGTTCCCACAAAAAAGGAGAAAGCTCTCCGATGAATCAAGTGACAACTTTAGCCCAGGCAATGAAAAAAACACCACCAACTCTTCTCCCATTTGTACCTTTAAAGCATTTAAATTTCGAGCAGGGGAAATCAAATTGCAAAGGGGCATGAGAAAGCAATAAACATCTCTTGGCCTCGCTCCCTTTGGTACCATCTTACGTGAGGTGAATGGTGTGAAGGCCTGTCCACTGGCCAGTGGGCTCATACATTCATTTCCACCATCAGCCACCAGACAGCAAGTGCTTTGGTTTCTGTCTTTGTTTGGTTTCACAGCACGAGAACCTGAGAGTCCAGAGGTTTTATATTGTGCCACCAACTCACATCATGCTGCAATTTCTAAAGGTGATCAGAGAAATGTCCTGAGCATTTTTATCTCCTAAATTCCTGTGCTCTGAAGGCCTTCCTTCACCTCTTTCACACCACACACACCAAAATAAAGAAACTCTGTTAGTCCTGTTGTTTAAATTTTATTACTCCTCACACTTCTGCAGTGTACATTTAGTTTATTAGGTTGACTAATGTTTCCTTAAAATGCTTAGGGAAAATTTGAGGGTTCATTAAAATATTGCAGGTTCATGATCTGTGACAGGCATTTTACAAAGTGTCAGAAAACTTCTCACTTGACAATAACATACTGACAGTCAGGGAAACGTTCCTTTTTCTAGTGCTAATAATCAGCATTAAGGCATGTCATGGTTCCTACAAGAAATCTGTGATCCATACAGCTTAAGCTGTCATCTTTCTGCAGTAATGGAATGTACTCCAATTTCATGCATATGTATAATTAAAAAATAAAAATAATAGCTCTCAAAACCACCAGCCTCAGAGCTTCTGTCATGTAGGTGAGAACACAGGGCTCAGGCAGGTGAAAGGGTTTTTCCATCCCCTGAGTTATCTGTGCCCCCCACACACCATCTTGCTGACCCAAGCTCAGAAACATTTGCCCTCTTGCTCGGCATGGCTTTCCCTGAACCTGTGGAGGCCATAGCCAGCCCCTTCCCATCCTCAAGGCAGGATGAGAGGAAGGGCTGCTCCCACCTCCCCCACATCAAGCAAAGCTCTGCAGGCAGTGTCCCCATACTCCAGCAGCTGGCCAAGGCCAGCAAAAGAGGGACCTTCCTGCTCTGCATCCAGATTCTCAGGCTACCTCCTTCCTCACTTGTACTGATTACAACAGGCCGAGGTAGCTTCCAGATCTAAGAAGACATTTCATGTATTTATCCTAGAGATTCAGTCAGGAATCCCTGATGACACAGCCAGAAGGATGTAAGCTCTTCAAAGACAACTGTGGAGATGCTGGTCACTGCTGAGTTACTGCCTGTGAACATGCTGTGTATCATAACTTAAACTGGGAGAATCATTTACTGGGCAGCAGCACCCTCTAATAAGGCAGCTCACTTAATTATGCAGAACACTGACCTAAAGCTGTGGTTGGAGCAGAGAACACGTGAAGCAGCATCTGTTCTGCGAGGCCAGTGTTAAAGCCCGGGTACCACACTATGGAATTTACTGACTGAAGGTGTGAATCTGGAGCTGGGCAGCTCCTTGGGCCCTTGGTCACAGGCACCTGTGCCAGCACCTGCAGCCAGCAACCACAAGAGACTGAACCAGTAGACTCAGACTTGGGTGCTGCACTCGTCTCCTGACAAAAATAGCCAGAGAATGGGAATGAAGAACCAAGTGACAAAATATCATTCAGTCTCTCTGTGAGGAACACACGTTTCCACCATCCACTTGTTCTTCTGAACTTTGTACTGCCAATTATTATTGGTTAAAAGGAGTATAAACAAAATGTCCTCACCCCTTCCCAAGAGAACTCTTCTCTTGTGTGTCACAGTGGCAAAAAAAGTTTATTTTTAAATTTTAAAAATAATGCATATTCCTGATATTTTACTTAACTCACAACTGAGAAGGCTGTCACAGTGAAGCACATTTCCAAGACTGCAGAGACTGTGCAGACAGAGCACTTCACCCATGTTTGGCTTTGCCAGAGACACATACGTATATAACATACATATACATATTAACAAGACATTTTATATATATATGTATTAATGTATGTATTAACCATTGCTCAGTAAGAACTGACAGTGGTGCACTGAACAATTTTTGTCAGTTTTCCCAGCACTGCAAGAACACATCAATGTTCCCCAGAAATTGGCTGGTAATAAACCAAATAGCATCAGTGGTACAGGTTTTTGGCTACAGTGCCACAGAACTGAGATTAATAGCAACATGTACCCTTGATCATTCCCTATGTTAAGTGAGTCTCTTGTCAGCCAGTAAACTGCCTGGTACTTAACCTCTGTATTTCCTGATGATTTATTCTTTACAAATAAATTGGGTTTTATTGAACGAGTTTAGAGAGCTCCTTCCTGACCTTTCCTTGCTGGTTATGAGAAGGTTGACAGACTACTGAAATAAAATTGAAGTTTCAGAAAGGACTAATAAGATGCAGACAGCCCCAGTATAAGCAAAGCCCTGCAGCTGAGCTTGAATTTCTTCTGGCGTGTGTACTGAAGGAGAAGTGTCCAGTCTCAGCATCCCCATGCTTTTTCAGTCTTTAGGTCTTTTGAGACTCCAAACAAGAGGTCTGTTAATTCTTGTTACGGCAGTTTTCATACAAAGACATCTGTCCACCAGGAACTAAACTTCTTTTATATGGGTCACTATAGCTATCAGAAGTTAATGACTATCAATCATTGCTAATCTGAACTGAAATGGAGCCACTGACCTCAAGCTGAAAGAGTCTTTTGTCTCCTACCAGTACCATGAGCCATATGGTTTCCTGCCCTTTGCCTCTTATTTTATATTTTAAATAATTATCACTAATTGTACAATTGTTTGAAAATATGGGAGGTTTGTGGCCAGTCATGACCAAGTGGTGTTCTTTCTTCCCATAGCTGTCACTTAATTGAAGAGAAGGAATCTGCTTAAAATTAAAGAATAAAAAAGTATCTCTTAATGAAATATTAGCCCTACTGTTTGATTATTGGTCCTGCTTCTTAACATTCTGTCAAGTAGACTGTTAATAATTCTGCAGGCTTCAAAAATAAACAGCTTCCAAAGTGTCAAGGTCATTCTTGTTCTATATGGGAGTAATAAGAAAATTATATAGGCAAGACACCAGTGGAATGTTTTATATTAGGATAAACGAGTATCTGAGGAACCTACTTATCACAAATCTCTTTTTATTCAGTGGTTTTCATTATTTTATATCATTTGCATTTCATCTGGCACAGTTCCCCTTTACAACAAGTACTCATATATTGAAAACATTTGATTATAGAGCTTAAGATAACACCATTCTTGTCAGACAAATAAACTGCATCACCAGCTATCTTTAGCTGCATCTGCTTTCTTTAATGAAACATATTTTCCTGTAGAAATGCTGCCTTAAAAATCACGACCACACTAATTATCTATGGCAAGTACATCTTCCTCAACTAACGACAGCTCGAGCATATTATCATTTGCACCAGACTTCATTCTAAAATTGAAAGATCCATACAGCTTTGCAGACTCCTTGGAGGATGCAAACCTGCTCCTCCGGTACAGCTCCCCTTTCCACATGGACATCATCAGCAGGCTGGAGAGCACCACGCCCCCCAGGGTTAAGAGACACAGCCCAGCGATAACACAGCGGTCCAAGTGAGCACCGATCCTTGCGCTCTCGTTCTCCAGCCTCTCCATCTCCCGGGCAGCCACCGTGTTGGGATCCACAGTCACATCTCTGGGTACCACGTAGGAAATTATCACCAGCAAAATGCCACTAACCAGGAACAAAATGGCACTAATGAATCCATAGTCAACGGATTTCCCAGCTGCTGCCTCTGAGGCAGCATCGTCCTCCTCGGAGACCAAGGAAGGAGAATCGTGCACCCATTCAGGCGGCAGCTCCCTGCAGGAATGCTGCTGCAGAGGGGCATCCTGGCCACCTGTAGGAGTGGGGGCACTTCTTGCATGCTCCAGATTTACATTTTCATCCACACAGGTGAACGACGTCTCAAGTTCCTGGGCACAGCAGCAGGCTTTCTTCTTCCCTCCATCCTCTTCCCTGGGCAAGCGCTCGGCTGGGTGGCAGGGCTGGGAGGTGCTGGAGGGTGCAGGGTGCTCCTGGGGCGAGGTGCCCAGGGAGGGGGGCTGGGGTGCCAGGGGGGGCTCAGCCACAGGGCCCCTCTGCAAGGGCTTGCAGTGCCGTTCACAGTGCAGGGCTGCCACGGCAGCGGCTGCTCTGGGGTCCAGCTCACCCCCCTCACACTGCTGCTGCTCGGAAGGATGGGAGGGCAGGCTCCAGCCAGTAGCGGTGCCCAGGGGCACCTGTCTGCTCTCCTCGGCCAGGTAGAGAAGCTCCATGCAAGCCATCGACCTCGTCCCCATGAGCCTCACCTCCTGGGCTACGGCATCCTCCAACAAATGCTGCTCCTGACCTGCAGAAGCGGCTTCACAGTACTGGCGCTGCTGTATCCCAGAAATCTTCTACTTTTTCACCAACGCTTTGTTAGGGACATGGCTTGTGTCAGCTGTTAAATGATTAAACAAATCCTCTCTGACATTCATTTCTTTTCAGTCTGCAAATGAAATAGCAAAGGGGGGAAAAAACAACAACAACAAAACCGAACCCGACAACCTCACAATGATACATTAATAAACCAAAGGGAAGATAACGCAAATGTAATACATCAACCCTCCTCTCAACTGTTTGAGGGGAGACGGCAAACACGATTGCTTTAACCACACATTTAAAACTGCAATCTTCTTGCAGATCCAAAATCTATTAGGGAATCTAATCAACCTTTGACACCACCATCCAATTAAGGCAGTAAGTATACACGGAGCACAAGGATAACCAGAAAAACTGTGTAAAATGTCAGAGAAAAGATATGTCTGTTCTTTTAGAAGCATATAACTCCCATCCCCCCCTTCCAAATAAAGAATTTTACACTCAGATTCACAGACTAATTAGAAAGAAACACGCAAATCCCATGCAGCTCAGTAATCCAGGATCTGTATTCTCCGGTGGAAATCTGATAATCCTATGGGAAAAGCAGCGCTTTCCTATGTAAGATCTACCATCCATCTAAGAGCTTTTGGAATGAAATTATGCCTCAAAGACTGATGACTCAAAGACGGATATTACCTCTCATCTGCAATTATTTCGTTATTACCCCTTTCGCCCGGGCCCCTTCCCCCTCGAGGCCGCCCGGTGTCACGGGGCGAAGCCCGCAGCCCGACAAATGTGTTGCATGCGTAGGAAACACATGTGCGTCTATAGCACATACGTGATCGCTCCCAGCCGCTGCTCACTCACGCTCTTCCCGGGACTCAGCGAGAAGCGGCCGCGCCGGGAAAAGCGATTCCCGCCGGCGCCGGGAGCGGCTGGAGGCACCGCCAGGAGCGACCCGAGCGATGCCGAGGAGAGCGGCGCGCAGACACGCACAGGCACACACGCATCCCCGGCAGGCAGGAGCACACCGCCTCCTGCCGCTCCTCCCGCTGCTCCTCCCCTGCCCGCGGGGCTCTCACCTGCCCGCCACGGCGCCGGCCCCGCCCGCACACCCGGACACCCGGACACACGGACACCCGGACACACGGACACCCGGACACACGGACACACGGACACCCGGACACACGGCCACACGGACACCCGGACACACGGACACACGGACACACGGACACACGGCCC